CTGCATGCCGAGCTCTCATCTGGCAGAGAGTCATAGTACCTCAGGGATGCCTCTCAGAGGTCATGCAAAGAAAAACCCCAGAGGCTAATTACTTTGCCTTATGGAAAAACCCAGAGAAAGCATGGTGTGCCTCACTTGAGGGGTCCCAGACTCATGTGTCCCATCTATGACGAGCAGAACCCAATGCCCACCAGAGCCCAATGGCAGGAAGTTCAGCTTATGAGCACTCATCTGCTTTCTGATGCAGTCAATGAATGCTGCCACATCCACTTTGGCATTCTCATGATGCAGGTACAGCGGTTGTGTCCATCCAGGACTGATGAAACCCAGGGTCTTGCATGGCAATGTGTGCACCAGCATGCTCCAAACTAATACCCCCCATCCGAAATGCAGGTGCTGGAGCTCACTTTAATGGACCGGGTTTTAGCTAGTGACTTATAAGGGTTATAGAGGTTCGTAAAGGGTTATCAAGTGGTTACCATAAACGGTTACATAAGTGGTTATGGAAGGGTTACGTAAAGGGTTACGTAAAGGGTTACGTAGAAGGTTATAGAAGTTATAATTGGCTTAGAAGGCAGCAAAGTCTGGTATATATAGTATAAATTGTCTGAGGTACACACAATTTTTTTCCTGACATTCATGTGGTACCAAAGCATGGTGTGCCGCGGGACGGCAGCTGCAGAACAGCGCAAGCTATATATAGCAACGACTTTATACCCTTCATGGCTGACAGGTTGTTTCGTTGCTTCAGAACAGCGCAAGCACCGCCCAACAACGACTGTAGCTTAATTGACAACAGCGCAAGCCATATATAGCAACGACTTTATATCCACAATGGCTGACAGGTTGTTTGGTTGCTTCAGAACAGCGCAAGCACCTCCCAACGACTTTACCCGAAGCCTGCATGGCGGACAGGTTGTTTGGTTGCTTCTTTACCGCAATCGTGGCTGGACAACATTACCCCAATCCTGGCGCCCATGCAGGTAATTGGTTGCTGCAGAACAACGCAAGCACGTCCGAACAACGACTCAATACATCTGCATGCCTGCATGACAGGTTCATGCTTCAGAACAGCGCAAGCACCTCCCAGCAACGACTTTTATTGCAAGCCTGCATGCAGGGTGCATGATTGGTTGCAGAACAGCGCAGCTCCCCCCAACAACGACTTTGTTTCGTGATGACGTGCATGTTGGAGCATGCATATATACATAACCGGCGCCGCTTCTCATCGCTTTCAAGTGCAGTGCAAGCGCTCCGGCGCCAAGAGACACGCACACACACACACACATGCACAGACACACAGCAGAACTCATGCACATAGGTGTGCCAAGCAACAAAAGGACCCAAAGCCCAGCTAGTAAAGCAAGGAAACGCAGCAGCGAATCTCAAGCACAATCATGACCATCTATATACCGAAATCTCAACTTTGGATTTAGTTTCCGTCATATAATAGTGCTTCACTTATCATTTAAACAACCTTAAAAAACTGCTGAAGAGCTCCGGTCGCCACTAGACTCTGTCGGTGGCGACCTATATATGTGATATAAAAAATATATATATATATATTAAAGTAGATCACAAGCACGTAGTTTAAGGGGGTGCGCCCTGGCCATGGAAGAGCATGCTGCCGAGTTGAAAGAGGCGCGCAAGTCGCGGAAACTTACAGACAAGGAAGAGCGGTTTCTCGCTGAGTACGAGTCTCTGAAGGGGGCCGGTTTGTTTGAACCGCCGCGGGTGCCTGGCGCGAAAGGCAAGCAGCAGGCCAAAAAAAAGAGTGCACCAGCTGCAGCTGCAGACGACGAGTATACCTACTACTCGTCGAGCTCAGAGGTGGAGCCCCTGCAGGCGCCCAAGACACCGACCGAGCGCCGTATGGCGAAGACTTTGTCTGAGGGGGAGGAGGAGGAAGAGAGGAGGAAGAAGGCGAGAGACGAGCGCCGCAGGGCGGAAGCTGAAAAGGCTGCAGAGAAGAAAAAGAAAGAGAGAGACGAGCGCCGCAGGGCGGAAGCTGAAGAGGAAGAGGAGCGCCGACAGTGGCGGGAGGAGGTGCAGAAGAGGGAGAGGAAGGCTGCAGAGCGCCAAAGGCGGCAGGAGCGCGAGGAGTGGGAGCGCTTGCGCGAGGAGCTGCAGGAGGAAGCGCGCGCTCGTCGCGAGGAACACGAAGAGCAGATGCGCGAACTTCGCGAAACACAGAGACGCTGGCAGCGCGAGACCGCGGACGAAGCGGAAGAGTGGCGCCGTGCACGGCGGGAGGACAGGCGCCAGGATTGGCAGCGCCCCGCACGGCGAGATGAGCTGCCCGGGCGATATGAGCGCCCACCGCGGCGAGAGGAGCGCGCAACGTGGCGCGACCACCTCTTTCCAGCTTCCTCGTCCGAGGGGTGGGGGCGAGCTTCGCAGAGCTCCGCGGAGGATGCTGGGCTTGTTAAAATTTTTTTTTCATTAGCGGCTTGTTATATAGGGCTTGCGTGCAGGGGCGTGCAGTAATCGAGGCAGGATTTCCGTTTTGGGATTCGGGGTTAGGTTTCGAAACCAAGCACTGCAGCTCAGGACTCTCGCCGCGCGGGTGCGTCGGATCGCAAAGGCGGCAGAAGCGGCAAAGGGCGTGGTACTCGCGAGAGCTACATTGGTCGCGAGGTGGACATACAGCCTGGTCAGCCGCTGGACAAGAACCGTGGTGGGGGCGCAACAAAAGTCGCCGTGTTGCTGAGCGCGTACGATCGCGCTGGTGTTGGGGCGGAGCTCAAGGAGCTGGCTGAGCGGTTCTTGGATGAACTCGGTGCGCGCACAACTCCCGTCGCGAACAACAGCTGGGCCGACAAGCTCAGGCGCCTGTGCACGGCGATTGGTCACGACCAAGGGCGCGAGATTCGCGATATGGCCGAAGACTACAGGCGCTTTCCTGCTGTGAAGGCTGCCATGAACAATCGGGCCTGGCAGGGATGGCGGGAGCGCGGGTACCGCGACTGAGTGCACGCCGTGCAGCTGGAGGGCGTGCTTCGCCGTTGTATATAGCTTTTTCTTTAGGCCCACGCCTGCGGCCGCCTGGAAGACTGTGCATATACAATGCATCATGCATGACTCATGCTTAAAAGCAATCGCCAGCAGGTGTGTGCCCTGTGTGGCAGTGCAGCAGCGTGACATGGCGGCCAATCGCAAAAAGAAGTGTGCGAGCCCCTAAACCCTAAACCTTAGAAGGAATCCGTCGGGGATCATCCGATAATCTTGGAACGACACAGAGAAGATTAGCCTGGCTTCTGCGCAAGGATGACACGCACACATGCATTCATGCATTCGTACATACATACATACATACATACATACATACCTACATACCTACATACGTACATACGTACATACGTACATGCGTACATACGTACATACGTACATACGTACATACGTACATACGTACATACGTACATACGTACATATATATATATATACAAATTATATGTAAGTAAATACGTATGCAGACAAAGAAAAGACCCATTCTGTTAACCATAGTTGTCGCTCTCAACCGAGTAGAGACAAGAAGCCAGCAAACAATGAATAAAAAAGCCCCATTTTGTTAACCATAGTTGTCGCTCTCAACCTAGTTGAGACAAGATGCCAGCAAACAATGAAGAAAAAAAGCCCCATTTTGTTAACCATAGTTGTCGCTCTCAACCTAGTTGAGACAAGATGCCAGCAAACAATGAAGAAAAAAAAGCCCCATTTTGTTAACCGAAGTTGTCGCTCTCAACCTAGTTGAGACAAGAAGCCCGTAGTTGTCGCTCTTCACCTAGTTGAGACAAGAAGCCAGCAAACCATGCAGAAAAAAAACACAATTTTGTTAACCATCGTTTCCGCTCGCAACCGAGTTATTTAGGGCAGCGGTATGTAAGGTTTGAGGGTTCAAGGTTTATTGGTGGGCTTAAGGGTTTGAGGTGCTATGATTTGGAAGGGCTTAGGACTTATGTAGGGCTTATAGGATTCAAGGTTTAAGGTTTTGGGTTTGGGGGTCAAGGGTTTAGGTTTGGGGGTTTAGGGCGCAGGGTGACGGGTTTAGGGTTTATACCGGGTTTAGACATATAGTGGTTGTGGTTGTTGCTGATGTTGCTGTTGCTGTTGTCAGGGTTGCAGCTGGGGTTGAGGTTGGTGTCGTGATTGTTGTTTGGTTTGAGGGGATGGGGTTGGGCTTGGGGGTCAGGGTTTCGGGTTCGGGTTGTGATTGGGGTTGGGGTTGAGGGACTTTATGTAGGTTGCAGTTGGGGTTGGGGTTGGTCTGGGTTGAGGGGACGGGTTGGGGTTGGGGGGGGTCAGGGTTTCGGGTTCGGGTTCGGGTTGTGATCAGGGTTGGGTTGAGGGACTATAGTGTTATAGAGGGGTTGTAGGCGTCGGGGTTGAGTGGATGGGGTTGGGGTGGGGGGTCAGGGTTTCGGGTTCGGGTTCGGGTTGTCCATAGGGTTGGGGTTGCTGGATTGGGGTGAAAGGGGTTGAAGGTGTCGCGCGGGGTGGGCTGGGTTTGTGATTGGGGCTTGGGTTGAGGAGATAAGGTTGGGATTGAGGTTGGGGGTCTGGGGCTAAAGTGTGTGGGGCTGCAGTTGGGGTTGGGGTTAGGGTTTCGGGTTCGGGTTCGGGTTTGGGTTGTGATTGGGGTTGGAATTCAGGGCACAGGGTCCGGCTTGGTCGTGGTCGTGAGGGTTTGGGGTTGGGGATTGGTCCATCTTTGGGGTTGGGGATCAAGGGTTATGGTTTCGATTCTTGTCGGGTTTGTTTATAAGTTGGAGTTACGTTTGGTGGAAATTCGAATTTATATATATAAA